ACTACTAGGATCTTCCTAGAAAAAGCAGCTGAAATGGTGCTAGGGTCTTCCTCGTGCTATGCTATCTCTTGTACCTCCCAGCTACGAAGATCCTTGCGCTAGAGAGGACAAGTACAACCTTTGCCATGTAAACTGTAGAAAACGTACGGCGCTAGGATGATCCACCTTGTTAGAACTTCCTCAGTTGGTGTTAGGATCTTTCTCCGACTATGTAAACAGCCCCTATGTGCTCGACAATGTAAGGAAAAATAGTCTGTGAGGAGTGGCAAGCTGCCCTTAAGAGCCACCTTTGTTTTTTCCGGTGAATTCATTCACCCCTGTCTAAAATTTTTTTACAATTGCGACTACCCCACAAGGTAACTCTACGTTTATTCTCTTCCCCCCATTATGGCATTTGAGGATAAGTTCGACCGAAATTCATCTTTTATATCTTTTTACTATTGTCGTAAAATAGGGTATGCATATTTAAATATTCTATAAAGTAAATATTTATATCATTTTAACCATAAATAGATGTTTTAACTGGTATAAAACAGAAAATGTCTAGATCCATGAGTTTTCTCTGTTAAGCAATAAAAACTGACAAGCAATTATTGAAATAATGGCTACTGGTCTAGAAATTATAAAAAGAATTGAAGTTACAGGTGTCCAATAAACTTCCGTTAATAATGACTTCTACTTGTTTATTAATTGAGTTGATTTGATATAATTTTATGATATATTATATACCGTCGTAAACTCTGCTAGCTGACCGTCCAACTTGCTACAACGGACACTTTTCTCGTCACGGTGAACAAAAAAACTTACTCTCGGTTTAGTTTCTGAAAAAAGGCTGCTTAACCTTTCTCCATTGGCTGCTGTTTTCTGCCTACGTGGCAAACACACATATACAGGGGCAAGACGAGATAAGCAGAGAAACGAGAATTGGGTATTGGAATGTGGGTGGTAAAAGAACAAGTACTTTGCGCCCAGTTTTAAGAGTTCCAGTTATTTAAAGCGTTTACGAGAATATTCTTGCATAGACTTAGTTGCGACCACAAAATAATCTCTGTAAATACTAGAAAACAGCAGGCCGTAAGCCAAAAGTAGAAGACACCCCATCTTCGTCTGTTTTATTTTTGTTGCGAAGAAAACGTTCAAGCTAAATTCGTTTTCGAATATTGAAACTGTTTTCAGATAGTTTTGACCACAATGCTGTAAGTTGGGAAGAGAAGATGACGAAGCCCGATCATGAAGGTTTAGAATGAAAGACTTTGCAAACCCCTCCCGCGCGAGAGGACCCTTCTGGTAGATTGTCGGATTTTAGCTCAAAAATCCAGGAATATCAGGTTTAACCAGTCTGGGTTAAATTGTAAACCTGATCTTCTTGTATCCGCTCTTTTGAAGCCAATAAATGTTCATTTCGCACATTGGCGAGTTTTTTTTAGATAATTTGCTTCATTTATGCATTTAAGAACTCTTTTCTTTACAAACCCTAACTGTTCAATATCTCTATTAGCATTAAGATATAGCCCTAGCTATAGCCCCTCCCAGTCGAAAAATGACAAAGGAATAGCACGCCGGTTCCTTACTCAACCGTATACTACAGAAAAGGTAGGGTTTGGAGGGAGGGGCGAATTTTTCTTCGGCTGACCGTTGCGAACTGACAACCCATACGTTAATTGACATCATCAGGGATTAAGAATATTAAATGAGGTTTGAATAGCAGCTTGTTCTGCATGTTGATGTTTCTAAGGGCCTGTTTACGAGGAGAAAGGGTTAGCCTTGTGCTAGGGAATTACCCAGCAAGCGGGTTAAAGTTAGTTCTTGTTTACAAGCAAATTTCACAGGTAGGGTTACTCTATCACCCGGGTCCACTTTATGGCCTTTACTGTGACACTCCTTGTAACGTCCAAGATTTGAAATAAAACTTGAAGATCTCTATGGAAAACATGTTAAATCCACGAAAAAAGCGTGAAAATATTATCATCGTATGCAGTCAATATCTTATATCGTTCAGAAATTTTGTAATTTAATTAATTAAATTAAATTAATTAAATTAAATTTTAGAAATTGGATAATTCCGTTTTAAGCTGGTCACGCATGACGGAGGAAAGTTGTCCCGGGTAGGCGAGTTATCCCTAGCAGAGCATTTACAATGCAGGTAGGATAACCCTGGCACTCAGGTAGGTTACCCTAACCCAAACTGCCTTGTAAACACATCGTGTAAAGAAAGGAGAAATGTGCGAGCTATCCTAGCACCAGGGTTACCCTCCCTCCTTATAAACAGGCTCAGTGAGTAAGACGAGAAATGATGTATAGAAAATCTCTGTTTTGTCACATGTGAAAAATTGCGAAAAGCAGCATTCCCACAGTCCCTGTGATCCCAGTGGAATTGCAAATGTATCAATTGCCTTGCTGAATTTGGCATTTTTACACTTCGCGTTGTCTTGAGCTGAATATTATGTTTGGTCTTCTGGTGTTCAACCTTTTCCGAAATTTTAAAACAACTTGAGAAAGG